TGCAATATTCCAACGTATTAAGAAGTAAAAACTGAACTCAGAGAAATGCGAGAGCTGTTCTTAAGCAGAATCATAAATTATTGTGGCGTCTGACTCAATCAGTGTTATTAAAACTTTGCTCAGTTATGATGCAAGCTTGCATCATCAATTAAAGAAATACCAAAGACAAATTATAGTGCGACGTATAAGTTTACAAAAGTTCGTAATAAATTTCTTTATGAACTTTGCGAATTAATTTACAATGTAATAAAACAGTTTGTTACTTACAATATTAAGAACGGTATACATTACTTTGATTTCACAACCAACGAACAAGTAAATTAACTTATTTACACATACAATACAATAAATTTGTTGATTTGTACATCTTGTTGAGTTTTAAGCTATCCAGAACTAGTTATTATTTGATTATGCTGATTTCTGATCCCGTGTCTACTAGTACCTGTTTCCTTAAGTCTTTATATGTTAAAGTATGAAAACTTTTTATAAGTATGATTAATATACAATTGAGTTGTAGTGGTCAGGGTGAACCAAAAAATTTACTTAAACCCGATAACTTACCCTGTGAATCTTAAGAGTTTGTCCTACAAGTTTAATTCACATTTTTCATTCAGTAAAAAATTATATCATCTAAATTGCACAGTAGTGCAAATAACTGCTCAATTACGTAATAGAGGATTTTCTTTCTGAATAATTGTAAGATAATTTTACCCATCCATAAAATAGTTTTATTTATGATTCTATGAAAATTTTATGCGTAATTATAAGGTATTTTAATCTCATTAAAGCCACTTTCAACCTTGATTAGGTTCTCATAGGATCAAGAATCTATCATCATGTTTATTAACTTTTCATCAAAATAAAAATTTATATAAGTTATATATTCGATTTTTTACATTACACTGAGGATATCACCTCGTCAAACAAGTTTTTTAAGTTTGCTGAGCACTCTATATCGTTGGGCATCCCTTACATAGCACTTATAACTTGGGAGCCCAACTCATTTCCCCGATTTTCTTATTTTTTAAGTTTGTTACTTTGTTTTTTTTCTTAAAACTTTTGTATTGTGTGGCCAGTATTTATGCAAAGTGTGCATATCTTGCAGATAGCAGTGGTATGAATATTTTTATTGCATAACTGATGCTTCAGTTTGTTTCCGGCTTATGTTTAAGTTTTCGGATACTTCACAACTACGGAGGCTGGTTTATTACATATTTGGCAAATTATTTTAGCCAGGCAGTAGTTGTCGTTGTTGTGTCCCTGCTTTTTGAAGGACTTGCGATTTGACGCTATTTTCTCAAAATTGGTGCAATTATTGGCAGTATAGTATGATGCGTTACATAATTAATGATTTGGGTGTTAAAATTTAAGCATTTTATAGTGTTTTGTTAAATAGTAAGCTTTAAAGAACAATAAACGTTGCAGGAAGAGAAACTCCGCGCATTTAGTCTTCTAGTTTCTAAAATTCGATTCTGTACATCACAGATTTTATTAGCGTTAGTGATTGCTCTTTCATTATCTCTTAAAAATAAGTATTATCCATTTCTTCTCACAGCTGACGTATTATTGTTGCTGACGCGTGCATAGCTTGAACTTGATTCTTAAGAGTGTCGATATTTTCAAACACTCCCCTATTAGACCAGCAGCTTACAAAATGTTTCATTGACCAATCGAACCATGTAATCCTTTAAAGTTGTATAATATTTATGAGATTTTAAAAGAAAATGGTTCAAAGCAAAATTGTATTGGTGGGACAAAGGCAATCAGTTTGGTTCTAATTTTGCAGAAAAAAATAACAACATAGAAACAATCAAATCCCGTATCCATTAAGTCTATGCCGTATCATCTACAAACACTTTAAGTCTCCCACATTCCATAACGATAATGAATAAAATTCGTTATCTATTTAAGTTGCCTACAGCACTAAGTTGTAAAAATAATTTTCACTTGCCCCTATCCATAAAAAATTACATGACAATGACAGTTATAAATTTATTTGAGTAAACGGTATTTAATTTATGACTAGTACGATTATCGTGATTAATATGTCCCAAAAGCAGCTGTTAATTAGGGAGATCAAACAAATAGTTCATGAAAGAAACAAAACATTTTATCCTTTTATCGCTTATGGAGAATCAAAATTGTGATGTGGTATCTAAATCTGTCACGCGATTCTACCTATACATTTTGGGCAAGCGGCTACCGAGTCCTGTAATAGCAAATATATTTTTTATATACTTCTTTATGACAACATTCTCAGTGCTACAGACTACGAGTCAATAGGAGAGAGAAGAACAGAAGACACTAAAAGAAGTGAAATATGTGTGAAGTATGATTGAGTGAGTGTGTATGGAAAAGAAAGAAGAAAAATATAGAGAAACTCGCGACGCTTCTCGAACACACCAAGGGCTGGGTCGTTGCGTCGAGGACTTAATTTTTCAAACCTCCAACTATCTGCCGATTTTTAGAAATGTTGGAGGTTTTCAGATAAAAAGGGAGGGGCGCACGCACCTATGCAGGACGACTGCATAGCGTAGACAGAATTGCGTCGGGCAGCGGAGAAAGATCAAAGGAAGAGATTAGAGTAAAAGGATAGTGAATGATATAGGGACAGTGACAGGTGAGATATGAGAGTATAATAGGGAGAAATTAATGATAAAAATAGATAGAGACTAGCATTGAGGAAGAGACAAGAAATATAATAGGATAGAGTAGCTAGCTAGACGAGAGGACAGCTGCTACGAAGAGAATCACCAGAAGCCTGCTGTGTAACCAAGCCACCGCCAGGACCAGGAAGAACTCTAGGTAGAGCAGCGTGATCGTAAGGATATATTGCAAAGGTAGATGTTCTACGCATAGTATACCAGAGTCAAGTACGAGGATAGAGGTACCCGGGTAATCCGATGGAACAAATGTGTGAGTTCATGCGGGGATAAAATGAATGTTAGAAAAGCGTGAGTGTGAGCAAGATTTTTTCTGTTAGTGACGCACAGAAAGATGGTGACCGTTACGAAGCGTATATGACATGGTGCGTTTGGGTGTATGCGTGTGTATGCGAGGTAGGTGTGGGCGTCCGACAGCTAAACCAAGGAGAAGTTCAACAGTGAGGACGACCATAACACGTACACATCGACACAGGCATACTAACCTTAAATGAACCGTGTATTAATGCATATATTTATATAAGTAAGAGAAAGAAACAATTATAACAATGAGAATATATAAGTGAGTAAATGAATAGTGCCACTGCGCTGTTAAAATATATAAAATTTCAGTGTGTTAATTCTTAGTTGAAGCCTCATTGTTTTCCCCTTTTTAGTTTTCATTCAGGAAAGTTTGGTAATTCCGAGCCATGCACCTGTGGCAGACCTCCTTGAGGAGAGGTATCCAGTGTGTAGGGACGAAAAAGGTAATGTACGAGTGAGTTTTGTGACAGGATACCAGGATGGCTGTTTACTGGCTGAAACATCCATATCACAACATTTAGTTCCCATTATCGTATTTATTTGGTTCAGCAAAATCATACTTAAGACGTTACAGTCAGTTATAAATATCTGCCAATCATTGAGCCTGGTGTGTGGATAAAAAATCAGTGGTAAGTGGGTGCTTGGATATCAAAGTGTAAATTTATACTTCTACGACGAAGAATATATGAATTGAAATATACCTTCGATGAATTCATATTTTAAATGATCCACTGTGATGTATCAAAAGCGGTACAATTACCGTTTTAATAACAATATTTGTCACGAAGTATGATTTTATTATATGTAGTTTATTTAGCATTAGGTGAATAAACAATGTGTTATGTGAATAAGAAAAATTTAAAGTAAAGCTACTGCACACGTACTGTTAGGCTGGTGAGTATAAAACTGTGCAGTTTTATCAAATCTTCCGATTATTTCAAAACAACTTCCCACCAGCTACGCTAATCACATATGCTTACTTACTCATTGTGAGTCAAATACATAATACACAATATATACGTGTATAAATTTACATGTATACATACAAAAGACTGAGGAAAAAAATTCTGTAGTATCGCTTTATGTTATAACTATAGTAGTATTACAATGTAGCTCAACTCAAAAAATCATTTTATTTACGAATGAAAGAAATTTTACGAATAAGGCTGCCGTCACATGGAGCGCAGTAGAGCATCAAGGATAAAATTGTCTCCATTAGCTAATGTGTTAAGTCTATCTTGCTGCTACATAGACTTATTGCGTAGCAGGATGAACTCAACACATTAGCTTATGGCGACGATTCTATCCTGCATACTTGATTACACTCTAAGACGCAATGGAAATGTAAGAAATGTATCTATATAATCTCGTATGATTAAACCAACGTTGAATATGAAAACTTTGGAATAAATTAAATAAACAGTTGTTAATTTAAAAGTTTTCATTAAAACTATAAACTAAATAATTATTCAATCCGATCTCCCGAAACAACTTGCTCATTTATTCATTGAAATAACATCAATCTAGACATTATACTCGATATTCTGAGCAGAATCATTTACTTGCATGTGTATGTGTGCAAAATATATTGTACCCGTACATGCATACGCATTTTTCTCCATGCCCAGCAAGTTTGCCATTTTCACTTTAGAGTGAAAATAACAAAACAATTAATTATAAACGTCACACTTTCTAATAAAAAAGATCATAAAATAGTAGTTTTTGTACTACGGGCGCCAAGTAAAAAACATTTTTCAAAGGGTTAAGTTTGTATATGTTTGTGCCAAAGGTGGAAACGAAATTTTTCTTTTGGAGGGCACCAAGTACGACCTTGCACCCACTAATCACTTTGTCCCCTAGAACGACAAACTGTATTAACTATATTGCGCTGAAAGCAGGTACCTTCCTGTTTTACTTCCATAGGCAAAAATCTTTCTGTTGTTTGAAAAAAAGAGTTTATTTAAGTATGAATAGTTTCTAAGTATACTGCAGCAAAAAGTCATAAAGTCAAAAATAATAACAACAAAATCTTACCGGATACAATGAGCTCTTGACAATCGAATAGAAGTACTTGGTTTAAATTGTACGCGATTCACAATAGTACCACTTTTAGTCATTCGTTCTCCTCCTCCATAAACAGAACAATAATATTCCTGTTTATTTAACATTGGTGGTAGAAAATCATGAATGTGATTTTTTGCTAGTTCGTCAGCAGTTTCATCAATATTTAGATATTCTGATACTAAAATATTCAAAAGCGATTGAACCTGAGCAAGAAACTTCTTGTGGATGTCGAAATATTCATTTGCAAATGCAAATCCAATTCGTCGTAAATAATAAAGGGGTAGTCCTTTGCGAAAACGTATATCAGTTTGGATAGCACTTTGTAAGGCTGCAGGTATACTCTTTTCCAAAAAGTCCCCCCAAGTATTTTTTTGATAAACACTTAAAGTGACATGCAAACTATGATGACCTAATCCAAATGTGTCACCCTGATGAATGGTACCACGAGGAAAATAAAGCAAATCTCCTGGCTCAACTATTGTATCTAAAATCGGCTCACCAATGTTTCTTTGTGAAAAATTTGGAGACGAATATCGAGGTAAAGTTTCTTCATTACATCTGGGTTTGTATAATCGCCATCTTTTCTTTCCCTCAACTTGCAAAATAAAGGCTTCAATATCATCATAGTGGGGAGCGAACCCTTGGCTGTTTGGTGGTGTTAAATAAGAGTTCGATCCAACAAAACAATGAAAAAATTCTTGTAGTGAAGCTGAAAAATAACTTATATGTCTGTGATAATAAACTAAAGAGTGATACATAGTATTATAAATTTGTTTAAATTAGTAAAATAACTTTTAAAAGATCACGTATACAATGTACTAGGTAGAGTGCTTGCGAGAAAATTTGTATGCAGTTACAGTCATCTTCTTATGTTAAAGTAAGGATGATGTACAGATTAAATTAGAAAGACGGAAAAGAATAAAAGCAGAGTGTATTAAAAAATTTAAAAAAAATTAATATGCATGAGTAAAAATAGTAAAAAAATTTATAGTAAAAAAGCATTATTAATAAACTTAAGTAACTTACATTTAAACTCTTTTATTTTTTATTCAGACTTTCAGATCTCGGCAAATTATATCGATGACTCTTCATTTATTCTTACTTATGCAAGTAATATTTTAATTAATATAAATAAGTTTTAATTAAAAATAAAAGGCTTTCTATATTTTATACATTGAGCATGATTAATAACATAGAGTAAGGTTTGGAAATATGAAAGAGAATAGCTAGTGGTCAATAATAACATAAAAAATTGAAGATAGTGTTATATCAATAAAATAATAGTATGAAATTAAACACTAGACGGGCTGTCAAAAACCATAAGTAAACACAAATGCTGTACAGAGGTATGCAATAACAGAAAACCTAAGGAAATATTGACGAAACTTGTAATAAGGTAAGCAATTTTTTCTAACTTTACAAACTGTTTCCATACAAAACAAAATTACGCAACTAATGGCTATTATTAGGAATAGATAATACCCTACAACTTTTGTAGCTCTCAGTTTAAATTACCAATGGAAATTTGTTTTTCATTAAAATTTTTATCAGTTAACTTCAGCTTTTATTTGTATCTAGGGTTGCTGTGTAAGTTAGTTGAAAAATTATCCAAGGGAGTAGAGACATCAATTATGTCATGAAGCTACATACGCCTTAAAAAAGGCTGCATTAAAATTTAAATCCATCCAATGCAAATTAAAAAACCTCTACCCATACAGAACAACTCTATAAAAATTTTGTACCAAAATCCTAATAAGTCATCGAAGGGCCAAAAGGACGACGCTCTAGTCATAAATCTTTCTAAAGTTCTGCATTTATTGGAACATCTAAGCTACACTGCAAAATTCTTTGATGTGTGTAAAAAAAGGTTTTTCAATTTCGCAATAATGACACTTGTTAATTGAAATTCCGAAAGAAATTTTTCTACAGCGTGCATACGGAAGCTTACAACTAACAACATCATAATTCCATAACACCATCACCCTTAAACCCAAAATTAAATTGAAATAGGTAACCACAGGCAATCTAAATTATTCCAAATTTTCACAAGATTTCAAAATCACGTGAACGCACTATATTACCTCCAGTGATTACTTAAAAACCATTTTTAAGGACATTCCCACATACCAGCACTTTACACCTAGGGCAGTTTGTTAAGGAAACAGTGGGCAACAAAGGTCTGTTATCTAGAGGATTTCTGGGGTCGTGGCTACCATACAGTAACAGCAGGTAGACGTAAGTATTTTACGATACAGTATCATCAGTCAGTGAGGGTAAGACAGTGGACCCCAAAACGTTATCATCTAGCGACTCAGTTATATATTAGCTGGTGGTTTGTTTAATATAAAATCTAAGTTTCAAGAATACATCTTACTAGAATTGTTTAAACGTGTGATTAGAATGTGTATTATGATCATATTTGATATATTTTGAGCAGTAGAATAAAGCTACATAAATTTTACGTAATTACCATTTTAAATTCCTTCATTTGTACAGTACATTGTGCAAGCATGTGTACTGCTCCTTATTATGCAAATATTTTGAAAAATTTGAAAAAAGAAGGGAAATAAAGGTATGAACTCGTTTCAATCCCACCCACAAACTAAAAGCATCAGTAAGGCGTGCTAGTAATCGAAACTGTAAACCAACACGACCGATATTTGTTCATTATCGTTAGCGATCTACTGGCAGTTTCACAAGAAATTTTAACACACAATTCTAGTCATTAGTACCAATCCCAAAGGGACAATTTTACATCTTTCAGTCGTTCTAAATAGGCGTTTAAGTCAAAGTTTATCAAGGAATTCAGTAAGGAAGACTTCATGGAAGGATTGCGTTCACGCACTTAAGGTAAAAGGAGAATATATTAATATTTCCATTCTGCTTCCAATACATTATAAGCCAATTTTCTGATTCTCCTTTCTTGATGACGTAAGAAAAGTTGGCTCCATGCCATCTTTTACCACCTTATCAGAAAATTATAGAATGGAAAAGACTGGGAACTTTAGAAGATACAAAAAAACATGGGAAATTACATAAAAAAAAGTAAGATTTTGATGCAAGGTACTCCACCATCAGTTGGGAAGTCTAGAATTCTCACTGTGACATATTAAGGGCAACAAATTAAATCGGAAAAAGTGGCTGTAGTGAAAGAATACCAGAAAAGTGACTCTGAAAATAAAAGCCAACAAGGGAAAACTAAGACTAGAGTATCTATTCAGGTGACGTTGATTCCTTCAAGTAATAAACCAAATCCTGCACCACAGAATACAACACCTTAAGGAGAGGAACATAGAAGCTCTAAACCTATTAAAAAGATGGCTTGTGTAGTTTTTACAAGGAACCAGATTATCAAGGTTTACACTGCTCTAGCAACTGTTGCTTTTATTGAAAGGCTTCAGAATACAAAGCAAAGAAATGCCCAATTACCATCATTCTGGAAATTATCATGTCAGATGTGTGGAGCATTGAGAGTTTTGATTTTCAAACTGTCTTGATTGTGCAGTTATGTGTAAGTTGTTGGAAAATGCTTGGGTGGAAGAACGACAGAGATCCCTGTTTTCTCACCACACTAAAGAGGATCCCAGAAGAAAAGAGAAGATGTAGGAGTCAAAAGACCTGAACCGGAAAGTTAGTCTGCTTAGTTGACAGGTTCGGTTCAGAAGAGTCTGGCACTCACATCTAACTTACTACGAAGCCCATCACTCGTGGTATTAGGTTTTGATACTGACTATGAGGATTAAGTTGAATAAGTTGCAGTGGAAAAGAGCTGAATATAAGGTAAAAATACGCTGGGGGACGACAAGAGTCAGGATCGTAGCTATAAAAATAAAGTTAAATTTAAAGCTGATTCTGGCTTGACCAACTTTAAGAACTTCTTTAAGAGGTTAGTAGATAGTAGAGATGGTGGATGATCAACTCTGGAGCTGAGATCCTGCTGGCTGGACAGGCAGTGACGTAATAATTCAAAGACCGTCTGAAACCAGCTAATTTACTCTTAAAAGGCTTATTTCATACTAGTGAACTACTAGGGATCCTGGACGTGTTAATGTAATAAGCATCCTTATCCAGAAAAAATAGCTCCCATCTTAGTATACCTAGCACTTATCATCGTCTACAAAATTGATAAAGTGTGTTAGAAGGGGTGATAAGAAAGGTACGTAATGTCAGAAAGTATGTATTAGCTTATATCAAATGATACATTAATTAATCAATTTTAATCATCCGTTAATTAATCAATTGATGAATTAATCAATACTCTACAGCTCATTTTACATTATGGATTATCGTTAAGTAAACGCCAAAATAAATGTATTAATTGATGTAAGCTTATACAAGCTTTCTGGCGATTACTTATGTCACTCTTCCTAGCACACTGTATTAATCTTACAAAAGCATAGTAAATAAGCACGTAATAAGCAAGTATTACTTATGTTCGTCTATGGCTAAGATTACTAGTGCACCGTATTGATGAGTTCAGCGAGAGGTCAAAAACGAAACCAATTCCTTTCCTTTATATACTTTTTTTCCAAATTTTCTGATACATGTGCACACGAACGTGTAGTACATATGCATGCATAACGCATTACAAAAATTAGGAAATTTGATGTGGTTATCAAGCAAAATTTAGGTAGTTTCACCCTGCTGCTCATATTGTATCATGAACTATCATCAAAAAAATGCTATAATTAATTTTACATACAGCTTATAGAAAGAAATGGTAAATTTAAAAACTAAAAAAGCTCATTTATGGACTTTGGTTATAACTTTTAATTCATACAATAAACTCTATAAATAGAAAAAAAATAAGACTGAAACTGTTAAAAAATCTTTTTGTATATCAATTTAAAGAAATACACTTAACTCAAAAAAAATTACTTTTTCATGAACATAGTACTAAGTTTTCCTAAAACAAAAATAATTTTTTACAGCTTCTAATAAAATTAATTCTCCATGTTTGACATGCTCCCAATGAATAAGGTAAAGGTTCAATGGTATTAAATACTCTAGGATTTCATGTAAAAAGGAGTCCAGAACGTTTGTGACAACTTACATTGTAAGAGATTAGCAGTAATAAACTATTTTGCTTTAATGCATTTTATAGAGCCATTGCATTATAATATTTAGAACATAGGGGTTTTATGTACATATAATCCGTGTAAAAAAGCCCTAGTGTTATGAAATATGTAGGAATGTGATGTAAGAATAAGAGGTTGACTGCAATGGGTTAATTGTAAAAACGTAGTTTAGCTTAGAATGTAGGTTTTTTAGAGTACACAGAGAAACCTTGAGACTAGACTATTTATTTTAACCCATATTTTAAAGCACCAACACCTTAAACGTATAATTCTTACATGTCATTGAGTAATCTGACATCATAAACTGTAGTTACCTTTGATAGCTTAATCACCGCGGTAGCATTGCAAATATTGTCTGTAACACCTAGTATTACCTAGCTATGCTGTTACACTTACTACGTGAGGTATTTACACAACCTCCTATTTGCGTTCAAATAACAAAGTATTCTAATTGGACCCCGTTGTGCCAAACACTCTTTTAACATGAGTTGCATTACTTTTTTAAGGTATTATACGCCTCTAATACGTTTCTAAGTAGTAATGTTTGTTTTTGTGCTCTAAATATTCTAAAAGCATTTGACATCCTAGTGGTACTGCAGAAAACTGTTCCTACATTGTATGACCCTTCACG